GAATTGCTTTGTGGCACATCTCTGTCCATCTCCGCAGAGTGACTTAAAAGTAGGTACCAAACTTGTATGTAGTTGGGTGAAAAGTATTCTGCTCAAAACATGGAATAAAATTAGTGAGTTTATACAGAGTTGTGCAGGCTGAGATCATGGTTGTGTGATTTAAACACTATAATCTCAACAAAACTGTGCATGTTGATATATTTTAAGGGAAAGAAGTGTGACCGTATTCCATATTTAAAAAAAAAAAAAAGGAGGTAAGTGTTAAAAATAGAAACTTGAAGATAAAGGAGAAGGTGAAAGCATCACATATTCACTTGAATTAGAGATTTTATCTATTGTCCTTCAAATCAGATAGAGAAGAGAAACAGATCTGTATGTAATAGAGGAACTTTCTAAAATTGTAGAGTTGCCTACAGTTCCTATAGAAAATAGAAAAATAACTATTGTAATGACAGCTGTAATGATGTATCTGCAGAAAGCTAATGCTGCAGAGTCTTCTGATTGAAGTTGTAACCCAATTTACCCAGCATGGCTTTGAAATAAAAAGGAATCCTTCAGATTTATATAATCCTAGGTAACTGAAGATAGCTGCTGTTTAGTGCTTTATCTTCTCTCTCCTACTAGGACAATAGAGACTGACCCAAAACCTTTAGCATTTTTGCTTGAGAGCACCGAATTGCGACTGCATGTGTAGGCCTGCTGAGAAACTGTAATAGAAATCTTGAGGGAACCTTTCACTTCTCAGAGATGGAGGATTCATTTTTAATGCCCACTTCAAGCATTCCTTTTGCCCATATTCTGGATATGGTCAAGAGGATCTCTACTTTTTAACAGAAAAAAAATCATTATTAGAATGCCTAAACTGATTATTTTAATCAGATAAGTGTTGTAACTTCAGAAAATGAACTTTCTGTGGCTTTTTTCGCCATGTATGGGGGAAAAACCCGGGTGCTGTGACTTCAGGTAGTTAGTTCAGCATTTGTACATTCTTCAGGTACTGGCAGTCCTGATAAGCCCACAAATGTGTGTTTTGCAATGTTTATATTGTTACTTTTTTTTTTTTTCCAGAAGCTGATGGAGTGAACATACTGCCTTTGCTGTTCTTGTGCGGGTTCTTTTCTTGTTTTGCATTTTCGTCTTTTTTTCCCCCAGATAAGTCGCACATCTTAAATTCTTTGCCAACTGCTCTTTAGCCAAGGAGCCAAAACGGCTGTAAACCTCCAACAAACTGAATGAGTGCAATTTTCCTTTAATGAAGAGCTCCTTCTGCTGGTGGGAAAAAAGCCACATACACTAAACCCATCAAAGTGTACGGTCTAGATTGTGTGGTAGGTACAGGCTGATTTCTGAGATATTTCTGGTTAGGAAATGTGTTATATTTAACTTTTCAATTAGTAGAAGGATTTGCATGTGTGCTAATGCTGTTATCCTGTGGCTCTTCACTGATATTGTCCCTCTGTCCCATACAAGTAATGTAAGAGAAATTCTGTTTCTTGATACCTGCCAGACTTAGATGAATGTAACATAATAACGTGCAGCCTTATATGTGTTAAAGACGTAAATATTATAGTTTTGTTGTTAAAAAAAATTCATTTTCTGTATGTCATGAAGTAATGCAGTGAAAACAAACTTGCTGAAAGAAGTGTGTTTCTCACATGCTAAAATGGAAAATTCTTTCTGGGGTACCAGCCTTGGGTAGCAAGCTGTGAATGGGTTCTGCTTTTTGAGACATTTTCCTTCCAATACTGAAGTTGTTGGGACTGCTGTTCTAATATGGTTTGATATTCTCAAGCAGCATTCAGCAAATTTTGGTAACAGGACAGGCAGTAAATACAAATACTACAACAAAACTTATTTTTTTTCTTTGATGACTGAAAATTTTTAACTTTAGCCATGTTTATTTTCACTTAACTAAGCTCTTTCCATTGCTTGTACTCTCTGAGGTGCCAGAGTAATAATAGGACATTACTGTGTCCTGGGACAGTTGTTACTTGCGATGGGAGGCTTTATTAAAATGTGGGAAAATCCAAGTGCGCCACACCTTCTTCTTGGACCCCAGAATGGAAGATCCTAGAGAGTAATCACTTCGGGCGTACAGTCTTTCAAATAATTAATTTAAGACCGTGAATAAACAATGTGCATCATCTCCCGGGTTGCTGTACAGTCGATAAAAACAACAGGTCTTTTTGTCTAACTTTTGTATACGTCATTGTAGGAAATCCTCCAAGAGTAGTGAGATTCACCTCTGATGCTTAAGTTGTATGGTACCAAAGTACTCTGACTGAAGACTAAATCATTTTTCTTTGTTTTCTCGGAAGTTCTCCAGAACCTCAGTTTTCAGGCAGTGTGGCAGGACTATGGAGCAGATCCTTCCTTTGCTCTTCACAGCTGATTCTGATGTGGGCCAGAGAAGAGCTCTTGTTTTCCTTGAACACTGCTGCTGTGTTCAGTTTAGCCTCTTCGTCAGATGTTTACTTGGGATGGTCAATTCTTCGATTCCTGTTTCTTTAGAACTCCTGGATCCTCGTTACTGCAGCAGTGTCCTACTAGGTCATCAGAGAGCATGGGCACTTCTAGGGAAGAGAGGAACAAAGTGGTGGTGCTTATGGGAGTCGTTTTGCTTTGAGAGGACTGTTTTCTTCAGTCACACATACATCCTTCCTCTTGGGAATAAAGGACTTGATACTGTTTAGCTGAAGAGCCCAAGGCAATCTGGCCAATGTAGCTTTTTATATCCATATGGAGTTGTCAGTTCTGTGGAGGACTGTTTGTCCTGTTCTGCATTGTTTTGCTGCAAGACAGTACTCGGGGATTTTTATGGAGTATTACTATCCAAAAATAACACTACCAAAGTATCAGGCATACTTGCTTAGTCACTTTTGGATGTATCAGCTCCAAAAATCAGTTAGCAATTGCTGCCCACTCGTATATAAGATGTTCTTTGAGATTATTTTTATACAGATTGAGCTTGTAGTACTCCTACATAACTTAAAAATACTGAGTTCTTGCAGAAGTACTTCGAACCCAAATATAGTGAGTAGGCCTGATTTGCTTCTTCTTCCAAGACACATGCATTTCATTTCTCAGTGGACTAATGCACTGGGCATATTAAGAATTCTTGATGTTTCTCAGTATGAAAACTATTTGCTTTTATACAGAACTGCTAAATGAATCTTTTTACAGCAAAAATATTCTCCCAAACCATTTTTTTCTTTTTTTTTTTTTTAATAAAGAAAACTGAACTCCAAACCACTTGTGGGCACAATGCAATTGCCCACGTGCTGGCATCTAGTGTCATTGAGTCACTGCAGTGTACCCTGCCTGACCTCCTGCTGCCACTCCAGAAGGACATGGGTCTCCCATAGCTGCTGTATTGTATCTTCTGCTCCATGATAATGTCTTGGAGAAGCTGGGCTTGGGCTGCCACCGAGGTTGCCCAGCCGTGGTTCAGCTCAGAGCAGGAAGAGCTCACTGAGCTTTCCTCTGGTGGCTCCTTCCAGCGACACTTGAACGTTCATAGCTGTAGCTATGCTGTGGTGTGTGTTCTGCAATAACATGATCTAGATACTCAAAATAGGCACCTACATTTAATAGGTGTATTTGACCTTGATTTCTTTGTGCTTTGTTTTCTCATCTGTAAGTTTGGATAATACCAGCTGTTCGTCTTTCAGGGATATTGTGAGGATAAATTATTAGTGAAGCACTTAAGTACTTAAGGGATGAGTAATGTTGTAAAGTCTACAAGGAAATTAAACATTCTGTCTTTCTAGCAGGATCTGAATATTGTTTACTAAATGAGGTACAGGGTCATACACAAAATGCTGAATAGAGAGCTGTGCATCCAAATGAGGCAGAGCTCATGTCTTAAAAAAAAACCCAAACAAAAAGTGCGAATCAAGACTTCTGTGCACAGTATGTAAGTGTACATAAGCACATGAAAAAGAACAAGGGTAGGACAGTCTACCATAATTCTGATATCTGCAACTTACAGCTTTAATACTATTTTTATGAGGAGCTATATTTTGTGATATTGTCTGTTGTATTACATAGACACATATATACATATCCTCTTATAACCAGCTTTGTTAATGCTGGAGTCTGTAACCAGAACATACGATGCAGCCGAATCAGGGATTCAGGTAAATGTTAAAAAGAAAAAAAAAAAAAGTTAGGACGTTGACTTAGGGAGATATTTTTTGTTGTCTTTTTTTAGCATCTGCCTTTTAACATGGCATAAAAATTTTCTAAAAGGTTCACCACTCAATTAAACTTTTCTATTAAATGCTGGATGCAGAAGCCATGTATTTAACAAGTTTTCCACTCTGTTGCTTTACTCTATAAATAATATGTCTTCTGGAAATTTCTAATACATATCAGGTATTCATGATGAAAAAGCACATTTGTACTGCTGGTTCAGAGATAATTACTTGCCATTAAGTTCATAAGAACATAAATTTTATTCATTTCTATCATCTGACTTGTCAACTTCTTACATTTTGTCTACAGTCTGCCCCTCACTGACAAGCAGCAAATAATTTAGTCTTCCACCAAAATGATAATGACTGGCAAATGAAAATTTCATAGAAAGAGACAGCACAACATCAGTTGCACTGAAAGAACTTTTTAAATTTTTTCCAATGATAATTCAAGTGCTGTCACTGAAATTAATTTATTTAAGTGACTTCTATTAAGCTGCTCTCATTTAAATGCTTCTTTGTTTTTTTAAGAGGTAAGCAATACATACTGTTTTTTTTGTTCAAAGTGTATTTTCACACACAGTCTTGTAGTCACTTGTGTTATGAGTTGTTCGAGAAAATAATAGACTTCATCTACTGTAACAAAGTTTCTTCTCTCAGTTGTGTCACTTATGTGACACAAAAATGCATAATCCGATGGGGGATGCAAATATCTGACTTCTTGTTAGGCAAAGGTCATCTATTTCCATGCCAATTTGGTTTTGAGATGCTGTCCAGCAGTAACACTGATGATTTCAGTGATGCTATGCCAAATACGCCAGGATCCCTACGGGCGCTGGCAAGGGCCAAGCTGAGCTGGACAGAGGGGTGGCCAGAACTGTGATAGCAGTTGGACTTGGTGTTGCAACTGTTGCATTTGCAGGTCGTTATGCTTTCCATCTTTGGAAACCATTGGAGCAGGCAATTACTGAGACAGCAGAGACAATTTCAACTTCTAGTCGTTCATCGTACTCCAAAGAAGGATTTGAGCAGAAAATGAGTAAGTGAGAAGCTAGTCTTATTTTAGGTGTAAGTCCATCTGCTGGCAAGGCCAAAATCAGAACAGCCCATAGAAGAACCATGATTTTGAATCATCCTAATAAAGGTGGATCACCTTACTTCGCAACAAAAATAAATGAAGCGAAGGACTTGTTGGAATCCACTGCCAAAAATTGAAATCTGAAGCCTTGGGTCATAAGAAATTCAGCAGATATATTGTGCAACAGCTTCCATATCTATTTGCTCTGCACAGTTCTTTATCACTGCATTGATTGTTCCTATTTATTGTCATAATTAAAAGTTTAAGAGTATCTAAAAGCAAACCGAAATCTTTTACAGTTAGTTAAAGTTATGTATAGTTATGCTCCTACGAGAAGCAGGGAGTTGGACTCAATGATCCTTATGGGTCCCTTCCAACTCGAGATATTCTGTGATTCTATTCCATGATTTTGTATGTTGTCTGTAGCTTAAACAAGGACTCCCATGAAACTCTGTTGCCTCATTCATAGCAAGATCTGTGTCATGCTGATACACAGATGAGTAAAAAAGATCTTGGGGGAGATGCTGGGGAAAGCTGCTAATTTCGTCATTGTTTGAGAAAGACTTTTCTGTCATCTGATATGTGCCCACCTCTGTCCATCCAAAGAAATTGCCTATTTGTTCCTAGAGTAACTGGAAGGACATTTTTTTTCTCCTCAGCTTTTGTGTTCTTTGTGTGAAGCTCTTTCTTACCTCAGTGACTGACTACATAAAGAACCTTAGAGAATAATTCCTAAACTGAGAGAAAATACGCATTGACAAAATTAATATTCCTAATCATGATTTGGGATAGTTACAGTATTAGAAAAATATACTTCAAATATTGAAAAGGGTAATACAGAACAATGTTTAATATATGTAATAGGAAATCAGAAAAGGTAGAGTTATTCTTGGCTGTCTCTCTCACGTTTGTGTATTAATCTGCCACTGGAGACAATCAGATGCAATTCAGGGGGAAAAGGAACTGGCACTAGAGAAGCAATTTTCCAGTGAATTAGTCTCTGGCAAAAGTTACTTAACAGGGGAGCCTTGCCTTATCATCAACGAAAAAAAAATAAAGTAAAAAAAAAAATAACATCACCTTTTCTGCCATTTGGTGGTAAAATTTTAGAAGAATATGATCCAGTTAGTCCCACAATGCCTTCCAGCATATGGATGCTGACAAGATTTAGAAAATAAAGAATGTCCTCTCAATGTGTATGTTAGATATTGGTATTTGTAGGCTTGCCTTTATGCTAGCAGGAAAATATACACATCTTCATGTGGAGATGAAATGGTTTGTGAAATGTTCATGCTATGCATCGAGTACTTGAGAATACCTTAGTAAACATACAGTTGGAGGCTATTAATGTATATTATTGACTTCAATTAGAGTTTACTGTGTATCTAGTAAATGGGAAAGTGTGGAGTTGCATGTGTAATGCAAAATTAATGCAAATGCTTGGAGGAACAAAATGACATCTGATTCTCTAAAATATTTTACTTTGCAGGTCAATGTAGCTGCAAAGATTTTGTTAATACAGTGTGTTAACACAGATACAAACTCACAAAGGTGGACAAAGTAAGTAGATGTACTGGGGATAGATACTTCTATAGTCTTCTGCCTCTTTTGCATTTCAGATTACCCCACTGCTTGTGTAGATATTCTTGGTAGTTTTTTTGATACTGTGTTCAATAGCAATGCCAGGTGATGAGTTAAGATAGAAGCTACAATGTAAACCTGAACAAATATCTTTCCTTTTGTTTGTTTGTTTGGGGTTTGGGGTTTTGTTTTGTTTGTTTGTTTGTTTGTTTGTTTGGTTTTTTGTGAATTGTTTTGGAAATCTTAGGGTCTCAGAGAATTCTGGTTCACTGAACACCAGGCTGTGAGAAACAGAAAGCTGGTTTGGGTTGTTTGTGGAGAATGCACACAAATGTAGCCGAAATATAATCAAATGCATTTGCTTAAAGTTTTGTTGTTAACAGTCAGCTTTCATAGCAGGATGATGTGTTTCTCTGAGTTGTTTTCAATCTCCTTTTTCTAGCTGTAAAATTGAAAATGTTCCTTTGAAGAAAACTTCTAGGAAGAAGGATTTCAAAAGAATAAAAATGTTGAGTTAAAAAAAGCCCCTAAAATACAAGTGTGAGTTGGCTGCTCAATCTCTGTACTTTCAGTTTACCAGAGTCCTATCTTCTCCTAGTGCCTGAGCACCTGGAAAGTCCTGATACCAGCTGTGGCTCTAGAGCTGTTAGGATTCCCACCGGAAAGCCATCCTCATGTATCCTCACTGTCTTGCAAGGAGCTGAAAGACCCAGGGTCCTGAATACCAAGGCAGAGTTGCAATGCCAGGGAGTCTGGGGTTGACAGGAATCCAGCTGAGTTTCTACCTTCCTGTTTCTGCCCAGAAGTTTGTTTGAGGCACTTCCATTTTGATGAATCCAAGAGAAAAAACTAGCAATGTTTACAACAAAAGAGATTTCTGGCCAGTCCTTTTGTCAGTTTTGACCAGCAAACCAGTGTGAGATATATTTTTTTTACCTGACCGCAAAGGTACCTATGTTACTTTCCTACTCATTCTTCTTGAGAGCACACTGAAGCTGCAGCTTAGATGAGAATTTCCCACTTAGTTTATTAAGCAGAGCTAGCCAAAGACACTGATTTGTACTTACCTTTCCTCTGTTTGAACAGGTTGCCCAGAGGAGTTGTGCATGCTCCATCCCTGGAAGTGTTCAAGGCTGGGTTGGATGAGGCTTTGAGCAATGTGGTCTAGTGGAAGGTGTCCCTGCCCATAGCAGGGGGTTGGAAATAGATGGTCTTTGAGGTCCCTTCCAACCCTAACCATTCTATGATTCTATAATTCTATTCCCAGAATAAGAGAAGGGACAGCCTACCATCAGATACGTAAGTTGTTATGGTGTTACTAGGAGCACCCATGCATTAACACAACACTCCTATAGATTCATTTAGTTCAAGGAATCTTTCAAAAGCCACTTACTTTAAGCAGGTAATTGGTTTGTAAATTGTCAGAGAGCCATTTACCCATATTCCTGTAAGGATTTGGAATAACGTACTGGAAATGACTTCTGTGCTTCACAAAATGTCTTCCAGTCCAGCAGAAATATCTAACACCCGGTGGGTTCAGTGTGTAAGAAGAGGAGAGGTGGAAAGGGTCTGAGAAACAAGGAAGAAAAGGTACCATAAAGAACATAAAGTCATCCAAGCCCTCGCAACTTAATATTCAGAAGTTGCTCTTCTCAGCCCATGAGTCTTGGCTCCGGAGGGCCGTGTCCAGGGTTTCAGCAGTGGTGTCGCTTTCCTTCTCTGCACTGAGGCTACTAGCATATGTCAAGCCATTTGTACCATCTACCACACCAGTGTAAGTGAAAGCAAGAGGAGCACAAGGGAGACAGATACTTGAGGACTTTAGTGGTAAATTGTTTAAATGAGAAACACCAGGTGTGGTGTTGAAAAGCTGCACAATCTTGGCAGCCTGGCTTTTCAGCAGGCAGGCAGTAAAGCAAAGCACCACTGACCGCTCTTGCCAAAAGGTTGAGATTTTGGGTAGGCCGAGCATCCTCTGTCTGTTCACAGACCTCCACTCCTGAAAATGAAATGGTGAAATAAAAGAGCGATTCAAATGCATGTTTTACTCTATGAGAAAAGGAGTCTTGATGCAAATATTTCCAGAAAGAGGCTTGAGGGTTTTCTAAGTGTGCAGATGAAAAGTTTACCAGCAAAGATTTTTTTCAGCTTGTCCATGACTAATTACCTCACTTTTGAGAGCTCTCGAGCTGTATCTCTAGGTTTCTTTGTTGTGGTTTTGGGGTTTTAATTTTTACTTTTCATAAATAGGCTTAAGAGGGAGGCACTAAAGTGTGGGGTGAGTCTGTTTGTCGGGAAAATGCAAGGGCTGATTTCCCACATGGCCTTGTTGGCTGCCAGCTGCAAGCTCAAGTATATAACTCAGTGGTGGCATTATTATTATTATTATTATTATTA